AACGCAAACAGCAAAAAATCCAATGAGTTTACTAGGATAATAAAACATTAAGGCGATATAGGCATGGGACAATAATATGGTTAGATGAGGCAAACAATTCCCATGAATCACTTTCAGCCGGTGAACTCGTCTTCCAGCCTACACCCATACGCCAGGCTGGAACAACATGCGGTGCCCGACTGCCGTCTGCTCTCCTCGGCCATACCTTGTACCCAGACACAGAACACGTTTATGCAAGTCGCCACATGCCTCCGCCGACCACAACCTGCACGTCTTGAGGACCATTTCGCAGCAATATACAATTTTGCTAATACACTGTGAATAGGTATTGGATATATATCATGGTATATTTAAAATCGTTTAGTGACTAGACACTGCTCTTTATGGTGAATTATTGTCTTTCATGCAAAGATTACCTTGTTGTTACCTACTTGGGAGACAAAGGTTAGCGCAAGGCCACGCGAAATTATATGAATCCAGCCTTATGTTTAGAAACCAACACATGATTGTATTTATACGCACAAAGATATCCGAGAACAGGTAATTTTGAATAATTGTCATTATACAGTAGGCCTACTTGGGGTGCTTTTGTTTTTGAAATTTATTCGAGGCTTAATCATTTTCTACATCTCTTTAGCTTATTTATCGATATTTATGTAACACATTGATGTATGTATGTCTATGTTTATATGTATCTACCTATGTTTATATGCACATAAAAAAATGTTAGTAAACTACTGTATTATTATTTTACAAAAAAAGAAGAAAAAAAGGATTTTATAATTACTGCTTTTTCAATTTCGGAAAATGGATTACCTTTGCAGATATCAGAAATCTCTTTAATATTATTAATTACTAATATTACCATTCAATTTTTCTAACAGTTTTTCTAGAAAGAGAGAAAAAAATATTGGTCTATCATCAGTCTTCTAAGCATTATGTGCAGTAGCATAAGCAAAACAAATGTTAACATAATTAGAGGACTGATTAACTAATTAACTACAGCTGATATGTTTTCATGTACATTTTTCTGCAAATATATAATATCGATGAAATACTACTGCTAATAAGGATGGCGAATATGATAATAGTAGTGTGTTGATGGAGATGTTAACAAGGAAGATAGCGATGGCAACGACGAAAGATATGATAATATGATTGTACTACTATACCTCGACAACTTACTATTACTACTGCTGTTTCTGCTGCTGCTGCTACTGGTACTACTTGTTGCTGATGATATATTTCCTGTTACTACTTCTGCTACTCCCACCACCACTAGTATTACTTCTACAACTACACACACACCTCCACACACACACGCACACGCACACACACACACGCACTCGTACACACACACACACACACACATATATATATATAATCCATAGTTTCCCTTCCTTTATCGTGGTTGTTTACGTCAACGGTGGAGATTGATATGTTGCATAGCACGTGTTATTGCCAGTGGTTGCTGAGGTGACTGTGCAACCCTACACAGTTATTTCGTCTATATTAGCATCTGAATGCGTGACCACGACTAATACTGTGTTAATACTATGACTTGAGAACTTGAATGATTTCTGATGTTTTCACGAACGGAAAAAGGGTAATACTTCTACTACCTTAATTATCAACGTGATTGTATTATTAGCAGTGTCCACAACGCACACTAGTCTGTTTGCAATCGCCAAATTAATTCAAACACCAAACGCCTTGCGGGAATGTACTAGAAGAGAAGGACACGACGCCACGTGGTCTGCTTGTCTCCTGATCTGATGACGTCACGTAGATAACGACTTCTGACGCTGAAAAAAAAAATCAAGATTGATTACGTGGCCTTCCTTTGTAATAAAAAAGAAAAGAAAAGGAAAAAGAAAATCCACAGCATGCTGCCACTCTTTGCTTAATACATGTGGGCTATGATTATTGTTAGCCACACATACACCCCTTGATTAACAGGTACAAACTCTATAGGTATTATTGATGGGTTTCAAATCATTTACATATTGACTTAACCTCACCAAACAAAGGTTAGAGGCAATGAATGTTTTATCTTATGGTCAATTGATATCTTATTTGTCAACGTTATCACGCGAAGTTATATTGATTGTGATGAAATTTATGGATGGATTTACCATAGCCCAGGGATACTATTTGATTAGGTTTTAGTGTTGAACCGGAACCACATACAGATATATGGTGCAATTAAAAACACCAGTAACCAGTGAGATTTATTTCAAAAGTTATTTTGATAGGTATATATATTTCCTTGTAAAAAAAAAGTGGTAAACATCATTTTTTCAATGACACAAGTCTGCGCTATCTCATTTCTTACTAAATTGCAGTCTGTTCAGTTCCCATATTTTAAGAATTCATAGTATACTCAACAACGAATTTTTTTTTTTTTTTTTTAGATATTTAGAGTAAGATCTTTAACTCTTCCTAATTTTTAATTTAATATGAATCAAAGGTGTATTCAGAAATTCGTAGCAGCATGTGT